CCATAATTTTGACAATCCTCCATATTCTGGGCCGTATAGAAGAGGGCATCCCCTTTAAAAGGTGCGGAAGCACTCTCGCCAGACCTCCCGGTGATGAAGGCGTCCGCTGCTGATTTCGTAGGACCAGGCCGGTCGCCGGGGCATCAGCTGCCTCCAAGTGTCTGATTTCAGGGGTTTTGGGTTTGGGTTGCGAGTTTTGGGTTTCGGGCTTCAACCACAGGGGCACTTGGCACCCCTACTAAAAAGTTACCTTTAGGTACCTGGAATAGGAATATAGGGGAACCCCAAAAAGTGAAGAGGCTAAGGTGCTAGCGAAGTGCCAAGGAAGGACAAAGGTCAGGGATTGGAGTTAAGCGTCAAGGTCTGTAGGTTCTCCAGGGTGTATGATCTTAGGGCTTAGGGGGCTTTCGCCCAGCACTAAAAAGACCAACCTTTTTTGAGTATAGCCTACTGTATAGCTTAGTTTTATACTGACATTAGGACCACAAAAGGGGAACAGGGCATAGTCAACATCTCTAAATCCCTACAGTTTTGTTGATCAAGGTTTGGAGGCCCGGCATTGCGCACACAGGTTTTAGTCACATTATCAACTGAAACATGATTTCATAGCAGGATCTTCTCTATCAGAAACCTGGCTGGGACTGCCTAACCAAACTACAAACGAGAATGCCCGATAGGATTTAGGGTTTAGGATTTAGGTTTAGGGTTTCGCATTAGGGTTTAGGGTTTCGCATTAGGGTTTAGGGTTTAGCATTAGGATTTAGGGCTTAAATCCTCCATGGAGCTGAAGCAAGTGCCAGCCCACCCCGAAAAACAAGCCTGCAAGCGTTAGCAACTTATCCGAGGACTAAATGGTAGTCGATCAAAACTCCCATTGCACAAGTGGCTATCATAGAAGAAAAAACTACAAGTTTCCTTTTAGACCCTAAATCCTAAACCCTAAACCCTACATAATTGCCCCAGCGGACCTCAAGACCAACACACTAAACCCTAAACCTTAAACCCTAACAACCCCGCACATGCAGCCAACCACAAACATGCTCCAATGGCTAAGGTCCCCCGGCTAGATCCAAATGCGGGTTCATCTAAAGATCTTTTGGGATGCTAATTAGGGTTTAGGAATCCTGTTAGTCTAAAAGAGCTGTTAAAGGAAGAATGTAGGCAAAGTTATCGCCATTTTGCGAACACGAATTTTGACCAACGACCACATAACAAAGCAAAGGCCTGCTGCGTGACGACAGATCCAGCGTCTGAATTGAGAGCTCCTCTGCCACAGCCGCATCATCCTCAACCACCTTCTTGGAGGCTCATTGGGACTTAAAAACTAGGTTGATAACTAGGATAACTGATGATAAGTGGGGATACGAGATGACTTGCAGGGGTAATAATTATACACACCATATCCCTCTAACCCTGCATCCTAAACCCTGCATGATGTAGTAATATATGTTGGTCTCCATTTTCTTTTCCAGTCCCCCATTACTTACTTTACTACCTGAACCCTAAACCCTAAGTACTACAGTAGTCTACTAAGTACCCCTCACCCCCTCCAAGTTGGGACGCTGAGTCTTTTTGAGGCTCAGGGTCTCTGTTTTGCATGCGGCATTTGAGACACGGTTTAGGGGCGAATTATTCCCTAAACCCTAAAACCCAAAGCAGAGTCCAGGGGTGGCGAGGGTTGATCTAAATTGACGTAACTGAGGAACATCGAGTTGGATGCGACTTGTCATGACAGTCTGGGGTTTAAGGTTTAGAGCTTTAGGGTTTGGATTCTGAGGGTTGGATGCACTGCAAACTTTGTTCTACCTCCTAAGCCTCCTCAGTCAGATCGTACTGGGCTTGCCGAACAAGCAGAAACCGGGAAGGGCCTGGGAAGAGAAGCCCACCGACAAGCAAGCTCTTTAGGCATATTACTTTGCCTTAAACATGGAGAATCAAATGGAAAAGAACATGGAAAATTGCATGGAAACTGGGGTCTCCATATTCAGGTTCTATTACCTTACCTCCTCTGGTTGGCAGGGAGCGCCAGAATGCTATTGGGGCTTATATAGGGACTACTATAAGCCGTAAACCCGAAGCCCTAAACGAGACTACTATAAACAACGATTCCTTCATTCCTTGCTAAATTAGGAACCCTTGGAAACATGTAACTACAAGCATTTAACTTCTTCCATACAGTAGGAAGCCCAATCTTAGCATTTAAGTATTCAGAGTTGAAGTGCTTCCCAGCCCCCGTAAGGCTAGCCTGAGGCAAGCGATAAGCAAACACAGGGAAAAGCGGACAGGCTCAAATTGAGCGACCCAATAAACAGTCCTCCTTCTTGTGGCGCTAGGAATTACAAGAAACAGTAGCTAAGGAACCTAAGTTTTGTCTAGGGTGACAGACACAATATCCCCAGGTGCAGCATCTACTTGAAGGGTCACAAGGACTTAGCAAGTATACTTATGTGAGTCACTGTCTAAACTCCTAGTGTCCCCCTTAATAACCCCTATATTAGTCCCCTATATAATCCCCTATATAACCCCCTTTAAGGAGTTTAGACTATAGCTCATGTAATTACAAGCCTGCAAGCCGCAAGGTAGCCCCGGTGATCCCAATGATTAACCTACTCACTGAGTCCCTCGCCACCAGAAACCAAAAAAAGTTAGTTGGCCTCAATGCGTGTTTCCCTTCCTCTCTTCCTTACCCTAGAATTACCCCAAACCCTAAACTCTAAACCTTTGAATGATGAGAAGCCCCTGTGATGGCTATGGCCCCGGCACATCCGAGAGGCACGCAAGCCATTTTGATTCGCCGAGCGACGTTCAGCGAAGACCTGCAGCAACTCGTCGGACATGGAGTAGGGTTTGGGTTTAGGGGTATAGTCCCCCTAAATAGATAGAATATGGCTTTGGGTATAGATCGCCATATACCCCATATTCTATCTACATAAGGGGGACTATAGATAGTGTGAAGAGTCGGTATTCAGATTCGTGCTGAAGCATTAAAAGCTCGACTCAAAAAGCAGAAGCCGCTCAGCAAGAGAACGGTAGCAAACATCCTGGGCGTGCGGATTAAGCTTTAGGGTTTCCGGGGTAGGGTTTAGGGCACAGCCAGATCACCAAAACAGACAACCCTGCTGCCAAACACAGACAAGGCTAAGAAAATGAACATCAACTACTCCCTAGTGCTTAGGAGGGAATGGGGGAATGGATCCATATAGTTGTCCCTATATAACCCAAATAATAATCACTATAATCCATTCCCCCATTCCCTCCTAAGCACCAGGGAGACTAGCAAGGCAAGCTCCACGAGTTCAAAGGCAAGCTCCAGCAGTTCCTACGCAGAAGACTTGATTAAAAAAAGACCTTCCAGTTGGACGGAAAACATGTCCCTATGCAGAATACTTGAAGACCACCACAACCATCTTTAACAAGCATGATTTGGTACTTTCCCACGGAGAAGGACCCCAATATAGACCCTAAGAATACTTTACTATACTCCTTTTTATACGGACCTCAGAAACAGGTACTCCTAATTTTGGGAACCCCATGTGGCGCCAGCCTCTCATCCTTTGGACGACTTTTTAATTCACTCGGTTTGAGGTTTAGGGCTTAGGGGTTTAGGGCTTAGGGTCTTAAGGGTTTGGGGTTTCGGGGTTTAGGGTTTAATGTCTAGGGACGGCAAACGAAGGATGTCAAGGATGCGGGCGGGGTGGATGATACTTCCCACTGCTTACTTGAAAGGATCCAACTAACACTAGCACACTTCACCAAATGCACGCGGACACCCTACTACCCTAAACCCTTAAGCCTTAAATCCAAAAACTCTGAACCCTAAAACTCCAAACCCTAAATGATGACGGTATTCCTTTGGGCTGGTATCTGGCAATCGCACTCAGACTCAAAAACTGGACTGTGTGCTAAACCCTAAACCCTAAACCCTAAACTGTCTTAAATTCATCACCTGAATCCTTCATGACCCCCAGGCCGCAAATAACACAAAACCCCAAAATCCTAAACACTGAAACTCTAAACACTAGATCCTATACAAACCCTACATGATCAGTGTTGGCATGATTTTTCGGGGCTCATTTGCAGCATGATGCCCTACATGTATGGCTTGCGCCAAATTTTCGGATGCTATGGCTTAGAGTTTAGGGTTTAGAGTTTAAAGTTTAGAGTTTAGGGTTTAGAACCCACGCACAAAACATAGGAGACTCGACCGCTTATTGATGCCCGAGGACATATCAAATTCGTTCTTGCCCCACATCGTCTGTAAGCAAGCTGTGGTTAGTTGCAGCAATCTTCGCACAGCGCTTGGCGGCGCTGCCACCGCTTGCGGCAGCCGTAGTACATAAGGGCGTCGGATGCGGGCCCGTCCTGCTGCGCTGCAGCGGGTCCCCGGCCTTCCAGTGAGGCGACAAACCTCCACATGAGCTATAATCTAAACTCCTAGTATCCCCCTTAATAACCCCTATAACAGTCCCCTATATAATCCCCATATAACCCCATTTAAGGAGTTTAGACTATGGTTCACATGGAGCTTTTGCAACTCCTGCTCGGCGGCGTGAGCCTGCTGCGCTCCGTGTCAACACTGTATGCCATGGAAGAAAGCTATCTGGGTGGTTATCAAAATTGTGGTCCCTTTTTGCGGTACCCTAAATATTAGGGGCCGTATTATAATAGGGACCCAAAACGGGACCATAATTTTGACAACCACCCATCTCATGCACACCTGCGCCTACAATTAAGATGCCTCGACAAATTTTGTCCATCAACGCATCTTGAGACGCAATTGCCAATGCACCACCTCATTTCCGGCTCAATGATGCACTCGAACCAGTCTAATCCAAAAAGATGGCTTCCCTACATGAAATATCTGAAGCATAAATTCAATTTCATGGATGGGCCCTCCCCCAAGTAAATATGAGGAGCCAGAAAGTCCCCCCAAAAAGGAGAGACCAGACCGACAACCCTTTGCTTGACTCTTCGATGCAACACTACAAGCTTAAGTTTAGGGTCCCAACTCCAAAACAGACATGTCAGCTGATATTGTCCCTTTTCAGAGAACATTGTAGGGCCCCCTTTTTTTCAGCTTTCCTGTCCCCAGCGTAGTGTTCATGGGCCTCGCAAGGCTGTTTTGTCAAATATTTCTTCAGCGGTGATTTGGGGGTTCCCAAAAGTAGGCGTACATTTGTGTGTGTCCCCATGATAAGGAGTATAGAGTATGGGGTCTATACTGGGATCCCCTGATTTTGGGAAACTACCACTTGAGTAGATCCTGAACCACTTTGCAAGTCCCACTGTCCTCAAAATCCCAGACCCTCTAAGGGATCCAAAAAATCGAACCCCCCCCCACTATCAACCCATTACTACGTTGGGGAAACTGAGGGATTATTCGGGGGTTCCAGTTTTTGGATCCTTCAGCGGGGTCCAGGAACATGTCAGACAGCGATGCTGAGAGCCAAGCTCAGCTGCAAAAGTGGTCTTCATGCCGCTGTTCGTAGCCACCTCATCTAAAAGAATTTTGGTAACCCCAACCCCCAAAATTAGGACCCTATGACTATCATATGATGGTTATAGGGTCCTTACTTTGGGGGTTGGGGTTACCAAAATCCCCTTACTATCATCGGGAGCAGCAGGGAGCTACAAGGACAAAGACTTGAAGAGTCGCACGGACTTGGTACGTATGCGTGGTTTAGGGTTTAGGGGCTTCGGGTTTAGGAGTTTAGGGTTTAGGAGTTTAGGGTTTAGGGACCCCTATGACCCGCAGCTATCCCTATGAATACCTCACTTCCGAATCCCCCTGACCCCAAACCTTAAACCATCTAGTAGTTTCCATTGTCTTTTCTGTTCCTCTATTCCTTCCCCAGACCTCCTGACCCTCCAAACACGGATTCTTGAGGTGGTTTCCGGCCAAGGCAATTCGTTAGGTTGACCCCCACACACTGTAATAGTGGAAAAATAGGAAAAAGAGAGGACTTTAGTACAGCCCCAGCATTATCTCTTCCATCTCCCAGAACCCTAAACCCGAAAGCCCTAAAGGACCCATCTTATAGTCACCATCACCGGCAGGGAGCGGGGTCCATCTAAGCTATAAGAGTGCAAAGGATCATTTTAAAGTTTAAGGATTAGGGTTTAGCGCTTAAGGAGTAGGGTTTTGGGTATAAGGATTACAGTTTAGGATTTGGTGGGTTTAGCATTTAAGGTTTAAGCCAAATCCGATGTAGTGTTGCAAAGCAGCGACTTGAAGCTCTCTAAATCATGGTCCTTGCTACGAGTTTCCCTGGAAGACCCTTGAAATCCTGCATGGGGGTTTGAAAAGATCAGGAGTCCCTTTCTGGGGTCCCTAGACTTAGAAAAAAGAGTATAATAATTGGGCGTCTATATTGCCCTTTTGTGGAAGCCCCGACATAATGTGAACTTTAGTCTAAACTCCTAGTATCCCCCCTAATAACCCTTATAGCAGTCCCTTATATAATCCCCTATATATCCCCCTTTAAGGAGTTTAGACTATGGCTCATATATAGGCCCTAGCTCGCACCAATGGGGTTGTGGTTCATTGCGGCGGGTGTTCTTGTCATGAAGGGTGAAAACATCGACCCGCAAGTTTCTCTGCTCCTGTAGGGTTCAGAGTTAGTTTTTAGGGTTTAGGAAACCCAAGGGGAACCGTCTTGTAGATTTTCTGGGGAAAACTTTAAGTATACCTAGTTCTTCCCAAGCTGTACCGTAGCGTCACCCTTGCATACTGGACCCTTATCCCTGAATTCTGAACCCAAAACCCTACAGTAGACCCAACCCTGAACTCTTAATCCTCAACCCTGAACCCTTAACCCTAAACCCCTTAACCTTAGCCGCGAGGCCCTTTTGCCGCTGGCATGGGCCAAAGGATCCTTAGCCAGAACTCGGGCCAGAAACGCGGTAAGTAGATTTTAGGTGGACCCCCCCACCCTGTAATACTGGTATAAGATAGCAATACAAGGGGACCTTAAACAAACCCTAATGTACGAACCCCTGTAATAGTGGTATAGAATAGCAAAATAAGAGGACCCTAATATACTAGCCATGATCCCTGATAATCATTAGTACTGGGTGGGCAGGGTCCACCTAAGGTAGGTTGCACAACACCAGTGTTATGTAGAATAGTCATCGTTACTAGTATTGTGATGACTACCATACTGACCATTATTCGTACTAGAATTATGGCTCCTACGATTATTACTATAAAACACCAGGATTATGCATAAAGATAGCTATTCTTGCTATTAGGATTTATACTTGGAGAGTCAGGGGGACTAAGCAGGTAAGTTACTTATGGGGATAACTAGAATTACAGTGTAGCTCTTAAGCTTTATAAGTCTACTTACTATGTCCTCCCGGCCCTGCCAAGTAGGGTATAAGCCCTAACTCCTAAACCCTAAGCCCTACAGGCTATTTCCTAGTTCTAAACCCTAAACCCCTAAACCTGGTTCTAACATATTTTAACTTGGTATGTTGTTTACGGTAAAGAGCTCGAAAGCTCCCAAACGAAGCCGGAACAGCACATGACAGGGTTTTAGGGCTTTGGGTTCAAAACATTGGGCTTCGGGTTTAGGGCTTAGGGTTGAGGGTTGAGGGTTTTCTCCTGATCAACCTGGCACCAGAAGTAAAAGCCAGCACCATCAGTATTTAAGCGCTGTGTGCATTGGTCACCTTACCACTGTCCCAAAATCCTAGGGTTTAGGGTTTAGGGAAAATCCTACATCCTAAGCCCTTAAAGCTAAATCCCCAACCCAGCAAATCCTGCGCCCTTTGCAACAAATTCACATAAATTCAAGCCCTAAACCCTAAATCCGTAAATCCTGCGCCTTTTACAGTGAATTCTAAGCTTGCCCAAAATCCAACAAGTGAAATCCCAAACTCAAATTCCTCGGACCTGAGCCCGGTTTAGGGTAAACAAAACTGAATATTAAGAATAATAGCAAAAAATAATAGTACTGATACTAGCAATAATAAGAGCAGTATTAAATAGAATATTCATAAAAATGCAAATTGTAGCAATGAGGAGCTGCAAATGGCGTTACGAATGAAACTCTGACCTTTTGCAAACGGCCAGCGTAAGGTTGGGAGAATACAGCGGGGGCTTAGGGTTTAGGGTTTGGGCGATCTGGCAATCTCCATAAATGGGGCAACTCCAACAGCGACCCAAAAACACGATAATCCATATTGTAAGTACCCTCAATAGGGACCCCATATTTTTGCACTATTATACTCTTACTACAGCCTGGGTATTTCCTGTTTTGGGGTTCCCATGAAGTTCCCTCATATTTTGGGGGTGTCCAAAAGTTTAACGTTTAGAGTTTAGGGATTTTGGGCCCTAGACCATGAACCATAGTCTATTCAGCCCTAGCTGCCTTTACCCGCTTGAACGTTTGCTTTTGAATCTTTCACCCTTACTCGGTGGCAGCTGCTGTCGATAGTTAAACCCTGCAGTACAAAAATATACTGTAATACCAGAATTCCTGAGGTTTAGGGTACTTAGGGTCACGCAGGATTTTGGGGACCCACCCTGCAAACCCTACATAACCCAAGTTCCATTCCATCTTCCATTTTCTGTTCTCTTTGATTCCCTGTTATTGGTGTGATACGGCAGTTTCCAAAATAGGAAACCCCGATCCTTGTGATAGGGGCCCGCAAAAAGGTACCCCTGAACCCTAAACGCTAAAGCCTTTGGAAACCCCATCCCTAAACCCTAAACCCGGAACCCTAAACCCTGAACCCTAAACCCTTTGGAAACCCCATATTTCATAACCCTATGAGGATGACGGCTCAGAGTTTGTAATTTTGGGTTAAAGCTTGCAGATTAATGCCTTGGTCTCAGGGACAAACAAATTCTTAAGGAACATGGGTAGGTTCAGGCGGTTTTGGGGTTTAGGGTTAGTGAGATACAAGATTTCCAAAACCAGCATGTCCAGTGGGGGGGGTTCCTAGTATAAGGATTCTCGGGCTTGGGCGTCTACAAGAGGCTTCCCTGTTTTCGGAAACTCACGTATCCCTAAACCACCCAAAGCTCTACTTGTAGGCGTGTCTCAATGATGTCCGTGCCTAGGTACTTGAAATCAGAACTTTTGTCTTGCTGAGGAAGCATGAAGGGGTTGAGCTTTGGGGACCAGGGTTTACTTTAATTGATGCCCTGTAGGCAGGGGTCTCGGGACCCCTTTACGAACCTCAGACGCACATCTTAGGACTCTAACTCCTTTGCAAAGCTATGCCAGAGATCCATCCTAAACCCTAAGCTCTAAACCCTAAGCCCTAGACGCTAAACCCCTAAACCCTAAACCCTAAGCCCTAAGCCCTGAACCCCTAAACCCTAAACCCTATATGTTCTGACTTCTCCTTACCAAAGCTGTGTCCAGGCTCTGCCAAAGTGAACTCAGGAATCGCGGCAGCCGACCGGAAATCCAAGGTTTGCGCCTGCAGGCAAGTGGTCCATGTGAGTTTAGGGTTTAGGGGTTTAGGGGTTTAGGGTTTAGGGGTTTAGGGTTTGGGGTTGAGCTATAGTATACACTCCTGATATCCCCCCTTAATTACCCTATAGTAGTCCCCTATTTAATCCCCCATATAGCCCCCTTGAAGGAGTTTAGACTATGGCTCATGTGTTACCAAGCCTTCGAAAAAAGAATCTGCAGCCTACTTCAAGAGAGCATCACTCCCTTGCCACGTAGCTCCCTGGTTGGTGGCCGAGGAAAATCTCGTGATTTTCTTTCCCAAAACCCCTGCCCCAGAAAGAGCACTGATGTCGCTTCGGACCCATCATGTAGGTCATGCGCTACTTCATGCCACCTTCCATAAAACTCAAGCTCAAAAATAAACATCTCGTAGTAGACATGGTAACAACTAGAGACGCTAGGGCAAGGCGTTCCGCCCTGTGCCACCATTTGGCGGACACAAGGCAGATCTGTTGAGCTCTGCAACTTTCATGACACCTTTGTGTATGAGGGTTTCCCAAAATTAGGGGTACCTTTGAGGGGGTCCCTATCAGAAGGACTATAGTATACTGGGATCTATATTGAGGTCCCCCTACTTTGGGAAACTATCATATAGACTAAGTCGAACATCACGCACGCTAGCCACTTCGTCAGCAGCGTCTAACTGTGCGACTTGAGTGATATCCCAAAGCTCGTACCAAAGAATCGAATAGGTTCTTCTTGCCAAAGACCTCGTCTGCCAGGAACAGCAGGTGGTTTAGGTCTTGCTTTATGAGAAAGCGATTCCACATTGGCATGGCCGGTGTCAAAAGGCTGACACTAAGACCACTTTTCAGGATTCAGGGTTGAACCCTAAACCCTACTCCCTATACCCTGAAGCCTATTCCCTACCCGAAACTCTAATCCCTATGAGGCCCTATACCGTAAATCCTAAACTCTAAACCCTAAAAACCCTATAGGGTGCATCCGAGATGTCAGAGAGAATGTGCAACCTGCAGGGTTTAGGGCTTAATTAATCTTTGGGGTGCGGGACCGCATTATCGCTTGGTGGTATTTGGACTCCCCTTTTAAATGTTGGTCCCCAAATCTAAAATTAAGGAAAGTTGAGAATTATTTCAGAGTGCCACCCCCTAAACCCTAAAGCCTAAAATCTAAACCCTAAGGATAAGGTACGCCCGAATTTGCGACTTAAAGCTGCAGAATGTCAGAATGCAAGCCACTCCTTTGAGGATTGGGGTTTAGGGTTTAGGATTTTGGGTGTAGGCTAAACTATACTCCTGAACTAGACCCTAGATCCCAAACCCAAAAACACATTCCGAGCAATCACCACCGCCTGAATCCGTTCACCGGATGCGCCTTTCACTTCCTGCAGCCAGTCAGGAAAGGAATGAGTTTAGAGCTTAGGGTTTAGGGTTTTAGGGTTGAGGGTTCTTCTGGTTCAAGAGATAGGGTTAGAAGTTTAGCGCTCAGAGTTTAGGGTTTGGGCTTGGGGGCTGGGTTTTGGGGTTAAGATTCAAGGTAAAAGACCCTAAACCCTAAACCCTAAACCGCGTAGGCTCTGGGGGCTACGGCTCAGGGCTCAAAGGGGGCTTAGGATTTGAGAGCCTAGGGCTATAGTGGAGATAAGGAGTTCTGCTTTTAAGGGATGGGTTTAGGGTTTAGGGTTTAGGGTCTTTGAAGCTTAGCAGAAGGACTGCTTGAAATCCTAGACCCTGAACCCTAAACCCTGAACCCTAAACCCTAAAGTGAACCCTAAAGTAAACCTTAAACCTCAAGACTCGGGGCTTTGGGTTGAGGGGCTTAGCGGTTTAGGATTTAGGGGTTTAGGGGTTTAGGGGTTCGGGGTTCGGGGGTTTGGGGATTAAGGTGTTGGGAATTAGGGGTTCAGGATTTTAGGGTCTAGGGTAAATGAGGGGACCCAAATATAGACCTTTACATATTCTGATGAATCATTATAGTGGAATCCCCCAAAAAGGTACCCCTATGAAAGAAAACCTGAACCCCATATATCCCTCACGAACCCTTCTAAACCTAGATCACCCTGAAAGGAGCTAAACTTATACGGCGCGCAGAGTTATGGAATATTCAGCAGTTCGACATACTGACCGCAGAGGGCTATAAACGGTCCCCTCCCAGAGCCTATTATATACAAGGACTGGGGGCCTGTGGGAGAGTCCTGGGAGTGAGATCGTTGGGGTGGCTTTGGGGGGGTGATGGAGAGCTCCAAGGAATCCTTCTGCGGCCAGGGGCTTTCCTTGTTGTGGAAGTTATCTCGGCAAGTCAACCAGAAACCTAAACCCCAAACCTTAAACCCTGAACCCTAAACCCCAAAGCTTGGGTACTGCCCCCCCATTTAAGGGTCCTATTAAGGGCTATATATAACCATATCATATTTATTATCCAACTGCTACTGAGGGGGGGGCAGTACCCAACCTAAGCCCTATTCCCCAACTTGTGTCCTTGTCAATCCGGGCGCCCAGCTTGATGGACGATTTCCTCTGCTTCGGGTTTAGGGTTTAATGTCCAGTGGCTTTGATGTCCACGGGTGCGTCAGGACTAGTTGAGGAATCCGAATGAGTCCATAGTACAAGTCCTACATGCTCCACCTAATTTTGGGAAACCCTAATCCCTATAATCCCCTATATAATCACAGTTTCCATTTCATTTTCCATTTTCTTTTCCATTTGATTCTCCACTATAGTAGGTACCCTAAACCCTAAACCCTAATTTTGGGAAACCTATACATCTTCCATCCAACATCGCACTTCTTCAGCCGAAAAGCGATGGGCCACCCTTAGTCTTGGGATCCCTTTACGCCTAGCATGCAGCCCTACATCCCTAAACCCCTAAAGTAGAGCCCTAAATCCCCAAACCCTAAATCCCTAAACACTAAATCCCTAAACCCTCAACCCCTAAACCCTAAATTTCTAATCCCTATACCCTAAATCCCTAAACCCTACCCTAGAAAATCGCCTGAAACGGACCAAACGCCTCCAAGACAAGCCCAGACTTTGAACCCCAGCCTGTGACAAGCAAGAGGAAACTAACGTGCCGTTCATCCTATAAGGTTTGTGTTGAGGATATAGGGTTAAAGTTTAGGGTTTACCGAGGGTTTAGGGTTTAGGGGTCAGAGCCTTGGGTTTAGGGCTTAGGGTGAGAGAGTTTAGGGTCACGAGACTCAGTACGTAAACCTTTAGCACCCCTCCTACTCGTGGCCCTAAACCCTGAGCCTTAAACCTGAAGTCTAAAACCTAAACCTGACGCCCCCGACTCAAACTCTTCATGACTTCCCCTGGCCCTTTCACATGGGTTCACGGCTACCCTCCACGAGGGACCTGCAAGAAACGCTGCTTTCTTCTTTATTAGGTGAAAGGAATAGATGGATTGTTACGGGGAACTAGAAGGGAGGTTTCCCGATTAGGGGTACTGTGTGCGGGGTCCCAATCATAAGGATAACAGTATTTGGATGTCTTTTTGGTATGCCCCTATTCAGGAGAACCGGCATAAAGGGTCTACTGTACGCATCCGCTCCTCCTTTCCCTACTAACCACCGGAAGCCTGTCCACCCGGGACCAGCCCGTAGATACCCCCTTTGTATAACTTCGCCCGTATAGCCTGCCCAGGACCCCTTTGCTGCAGGTATCAATTTGCTATAACCGCACTAAATTTTGTGCAAGTCCCTTATAGCCTAAATCCCAACCCCTAAACCCTAAACTCCAACCCCTAGAGTCTAAACTGTAGAACTTGTATGTCATAGCCCTGTAAGTTGGCCATCCATGCCAAGCAGCTGCATCTTTCCCTTCGAGCGCGGCATGCTGTCTGTACACCTTTTTGGCTATTCTTGACAGAGGTCCTTAAGGTTTAAATTATGATTTGGAAGACGTGAAGCTTAAAGTCCAAGGTTTTTTCCTCACATTGACCGTTCCCTTTGGATAGGGATTTGGGTTCTTTGATTTCAGCAAATGGGGTCCTAAACCCTAAACTCTAAAC